TGTACACACACACACACACACACACATATATATATATATATATATATATATATATATATATATATATATATATAACAGCTCCATCTAATTATCAATAGCAAGTGCAATCAATGGTTTGTCAGTATGTCTAACATTGGTACTTCATTTATTTCTTGTTGATTTTATTTCTTTTCCATCTGCCAATAGTTTGTGAAAGAAACAGCATTGTGTGTTGTTTTTTGGCTATCGATATATATTTCCCCAGATTCCTGATTCAACAGGGAATGTCAAACCAGAAAAGAAAACTGCTTGTCAAATAGTTCATGGGGTCTTTAAATGCAGCAGTGGAAAAAAAAATATTCTCAACATTTGTTAATTATAGTAGCTGAACCTGAATTTCATCACATACAACATCACACTGTTCTTTACATTGCCATCGTCTCATCGGTCTCTGTGTAACCTGCATGTGAACCCTCTCTGGCCTTGCTTTTCCATCATGGTGTGGTGCAGCCGGCTATCAAGCTTCCATATTGTCGCTTTGCCTCAGTGCTCTGCTCACAATGCTGACGGTGTTTCATAGTAACTTTCCACATTTTGCAACTACACTAGGATGTGAAGCTTAGGTGCCACACTGCTCCCTGATCATGTGCTTTTACGGTTTGGCTTGGGCTACTTCAGTAATACATTTCAAGATGTTTTGGATCCAGGCAAAATATTACTTATACAAGTGCCAGCTGGGAAATTAGACCACCTGTCATCAAATAGTATTGTTATATATATATATATATATATATATATATATATATATATAACAGCTCCATCTAATTATCAATAGCAAGTGCAATCAATGGTTTGTCAGTATGTCTAACATTGGTACTTCATTTATTTCTTGTTGATTTTATTTCTTTTCCATCTGCCAATAGTTTGTGAAAGAAACAGCATTGTGTGTTGTTTTTTGGCTATCGATATATATTTCCCCAGATTCCTGATTCAACAGGGAATGTCAAACCAGAAAAGAAAACTGCTTGTCAAATAGTTCATGGGGTCTTTAAATGCAGCAGTGGAAAAAAAAATATTCTCAACATTTGTTAATTATAGTAGCTGAACCTGAATTTCATCACATACAACATCACACTGTTCTTTACATTGCCATCGTCTCATCGGTCTCTGTGTAACCTGCATGTGAACCCTCTCTGGCCTTGCTTTTCCATCATGGTGTGGTGCAGCCGGCTATCAAGCTTCCATATTGTCGCTTTGCCTCAGTGCTCTGCTCACAATGCTGACGGTGTTTCATAGTAACTTTCCACATTTTGCAACTACACTAGGATGTGAAGCTTAGGTGCCACACTGCTCCCTGATCATGTGCTTTTACGGTTTGGCTTGGGCTACTTCAGTAATACATTTCAAGATGTTTTGGATCCAGGCAAAATATTACTTATACAAGTGCCAGCTGGGAAATTAGACCACCTGTCATCAAATAGTATTGTTTTATATATATAT